ACAATTTTAAAACTTGGAGTGATCCTCCTTTCTCTCTTTCCTTTTTTCCACATGATTTTGCCAATGCCCAGGGCGACTTGGGAAGCCATATGCTAAGATTAAATGATCCTCATCAGCCCCAATCTTTAAACAATTGCTCCTGTCCCCACTCCCCACACACTGAACTTTCCTTTCACAAGAAGTAAAGGTGTGTTGTAACAAGCCTTGGGGCCACTGCTACAGAAGATTAAGTGCTGCTTACAGTTAATACATGCATCCTGAAATGTGGTGAGAAGAATGTGAGATAATTCATATAAATTAGTAATTAGCACCTGGAGTGATATGGAATGCACACTTCTGTCACTTTGAGGCCACACGACCCCGGAACTATGCTGCCACCTCTTATCAATCTGCGTCTTAAATTGCAGGGTAAAGTTAACCACAAATAACAAAGTCATGGAATCAAGCTGTCACAAATTGGCCACTGTATTCCCAAGGCATCTGAAGTATGTGTATTGACAGGAAGGAAGGAAGACACAAGAGGAGAATGGTAACATTAAAGATGCTCTTCAAATGTGTTTGCAAGTCTGGTTAGTGCTCCAGTGAGAGCGAGGGTGGGAGGGAGAGAAGGGGCTGTTGCCGAAGTTTGTTATGTGCCAGTTGGAAGACCAAGCAATTCATATCTGCTGTCTCTTTCTTTTTTTCACAATCCAAAGGTAATTCTAAAGGTACATATTATTTTCTCTATTTGCAATTAAGACTTGATGCTCCAGGAAGCAAGATCTTGGAGCTCATAGACAACAGAGCTTGGAGCTTACAGAGAACAGAGCTGAGATTCAAACCTGAGTTGATTTGGTTCTAATGTTCTTGCTTTTTCTACTATAAATATTTAACCTTCAACACCTCGGATTCTGTGCTGAAGACAGGCCAAACCAAGCAGCTGGTGAGACAGAATGGCTAAACAAGTCATTAATGAAAGTGTTAAGTACAATGCAAACACAGAGGCCACTTTAAATGGTTCTCTGAAATGAGAGCTGGGCTCAAACAGAGCCTACTTTCAAGGGGCCCTAGTTTAAATGGCCAAATGCTAGAGAAAAAAAACATTAAAGGAAGCACCTTTCTGCTGGGCTTGCAAAACTTCAGGTTCATGAATCCAAGAGAAGATTAAGGAGGAGAAGAGGGGCTTGTGGACTGCAGCCTCAGGAGCTTCCTACATCTCTCAGGCCAGGAGGTCAGCTTTTCCAATTGTGCAATTAAAGCCATTCTGTGCAGCCTTACTCCTAGTTTCCAATTAATCTGCAATAATGAATTCAACCACCAAAATGCATCTGCTAATTAAGGTGCCTTCTGGCCAGGTCATCTGCCTTCCTCTTGCTGACAGCAAGCTCTCTCCACTGTGCCAATGCAAAGAGGGTAGTAGGGTCCCTGCCCCTTTCAGCCCCCAATGCTGCCCCCTTGCAAGGAGGATGCCCCACAACAGGACCTCCTTAGAGGGGATGCCTCATAATACCAAGTTATAGATGGAAATTACTCCTCTAGCACAGTCTTTGACTTTTCGCTTCTAAGTGAAAGCTCATGTTTGTCCTTTGCCATTTTATCACCCTGGTCCATGATAGTTGTTATATAATGGGAAAGACGTTAAACTTGGACCTAGGAGTTCTTGATACAGAACCCAGACTGTTGTTTACAAACAGTTGACTCTGGAAAGTTACTACCTCCCTCTCAGCTTGCTCATCCGGAAAATGAAGCTAATAGAACTGGCCTTGGAGTCATAGTGAAATAAATGCATGTAACAGGAGCTCATCAAAATTTTTAATTCATATTGAGGGGCTCAGGGAGCTGGCTCCCCAGGGAAAGCCTGAGTTTACCAATGGGTGGCAGATGTACAAAGAATGGAGGTTGGATAAGCTGGAAGGAGGGAGCCTACTGACCAGAAAAGCTGGACATGAAGGATTTAGAGGAGGAGCGGGACTCACTGAAGGAAATGAAGACAGGGTTCCCATGAGATATCAGACGAGAAGAGAAAATGAGAAGTAAGAAGAACAAAGCAGGAAGACAAAACTAACAGGCCTCATCCTGCCCTTCTATCCTCAGCCACTCAGCCATCTGTAGATCATATGTGTACCAAGTTCAATGTTCACAGGTGCTGCTCGTGGAATGGGCTAGTGAGCTCTCAAAAATCCACTAGAGCCTTAAGGTTTCTTTTCTTGCCAGGCGTGGTGACAGATACCCATAATCCCAGCACTCGGGAGGCTGAGGCAGGAGGATCATTGCAAGTTTGAGACCAGCCTGGGCTACAAAGTGAGTTTAAGACCCATCTAAACAGCACAGTGAGACCCTGTCTCAAAAAGATTAAATAAATAAATAATAAATGATTTCTTTCTTTTCCTTTTTTTCTTTTTGACAAAACAGAGTCTGACAGAGCCATCCCTTCCTTGGCCAATGGTCTTTTGGGTCTGTGATTCAGGGAAAGGTTGCAGTGGGGAAGTTGTTGGCCACACGTACCAGGTAGCTGGATATGGAGCCCTGCAGCCTGGGCCACGTGCTTCATATTTCTACCATCGGAGTAACAATTTAAAAGAAGAAAAAGCATGAAAGCTTTTTCCCAGGGAGAGGTAATGACCAGAACACCTGGGAAGTAAAGAGATACACTAATACTGAGCTCAGGCCCTCAGATCTCCCCCAAGTCAGAAATGCAAGCCCCCGCTCCCCAAGGAAAGGTCTGGGCATTAGCTTTGGTTCTAAGAAGGATGAGTCTCTAGGACGGCACTGGAATCCGGTCCCAGACCCCCAAGTCGGGGAGGGCATCCCGGTGGAGGCTAACTCCTCCAAGACTGCCGGAGACTCAGACCAGGGAAGTGTGCAGCGCCGCAGGTGGAGCTGCCTTCTGCTGGGACATTGTGCCTGGTGCTGGAAGGCAGGCACAGCCCAGGGCAGCACACAGCTCTGCTCTCCCTGCTGCTGGAAGGGAATATAAGTCACACAGCCTATCTTTCTGGAGCTGATCTGCCTCTCCGGACATCTAACTCAGGCCGGAGGTCATCTGCCTCTAGATTTACCATGCTTTAAATGAGGAATCAATTTCTTTAAAAATCACCTGCCCCAAGAAATAGTTCACTTAGCACAAAGCATGGAAGAGGAAGAAATGGCAGAAGTTGGGGTAGAAAGGTCATTTTAACTCTCTTGGTGGCCCCAGTATATCAAACCTCTAGACAAGTATCAAAGAATGTTGGTTACCCTCATTTATTCAGTCAATAAGTATTTATTTTAGTGCCCTCTTCATGGCAGTTTCCCAGCTATATAGAAACTATGAAATAGAGAGACAAATTCTCTGCCCTCAAAGACCCAGGAAAGTGATATTAAGTGAGGAATTACAAGAAGGTGTGAGTAACACATGCAAGTATATCACTGCTGAGCAATAAGACCTGTCGTAAGAGGAGGGAGCAGGAAGAGCTGCTCAAAGTTACTTAGTTCAAACTTTCGTTTCCCAGATGATGAGAGGGAATCCTCAGGAAAGGTGTTCAGATGGTACAGTGTAATGCTCATGTGAGGTGTTGAAGGTGCATCTAGGTAGGCTGGGTATCTCCTATATGAAATGATTGGGACAAGAAGTGTTTCACATTTCAGATGTTACTGGATTTTGGAATATTTGGATACACACAATGAGGTATCCTGGGACTGGAACCCACGTCTAAACATAAAATTTATTTATGCTTCATCCACACTGTATATAATAGCTTGCACTTTATTTATTTATTTATTTATTTATTTATTTATTTA